AAATATGCATATTTGTGTTTATATGGGCACTGCTGAACATTTGTATATATCCTTCCCAAATATTCTATTATATTTATATCTCTGTGTCCATTCATCCCTCCATCTATCCATCCATCATGCCGCCGGCCAAGAATACTTGTGCTCTGCATATTGCTAGTGGGAAAAGTTTGCAAGCAAAAGGGGAGAAAATGAAGCGGATGAGGTTGTGGGTAACAGGAGATGACAACAGGGAAACTGAGTCAGGGATCTACTGACACCACATTCCCAATTTTCTGTGTAGAAAACAGCACAGATGCCACATATAGGTCTTCCTACTTAGCCCTGGGTCAAAGATCTGTGTATCCTATTTTACACACTTCAATTCAAGGGCTCTAGAATGAGTGAAACTCACACTTTCATTGTCATACTCATGACAAGTTAATTACAGCATTTTATGGAGAGAGAAAAAGAAGCAGGAAGGATGTGGGAACACTTCTCGATTCTATTCCCCCCCCCCCCCTGCAGTTTATTGGGATAGTGGAAAACAGCCTTCTCTGTGACCCCATAGCTGTCAGTCATCAGCAAGCTTTACAAGGTGTTGCCTCTTCACACACAAAAAATTGCATTTTTTGTAGATTCTTTTCTTAAAGTTTGGCACCCTAGGCAGCTGCCTAGCTTATCTGTATGGACAGTGCAAGGAAGTGCTGGGCATAGATGCCAAGAGAGCCATGGAAACCCGGAAGTATCAAAATCTAAAAAGCAAAGTTGAAATATTATGGATAAAGTGGTTGTTGTGGTTGCAATGATTATCAGCACAACAAAAAAAATTGGGGTGGCACTTTGAAAATCTATGCATTGACAAAATTTCCATCCATCAGTTGCAAAAGGCCACTCAGCTAAAGAACTGGATGCTGTAATTTCACATCGTTGAATGTATAAAAATAACAACAATAACAACAAAACCTCAGAAAAAGAAATATATGAAAGATAACAAAAAATACAACTACAAGTTAACAGAAAACAAAACAAAAAAGGAGGGAAAGGGGAAAATATCTATACAGTGGGTCAAACCTATTAATCAAATCTGGAACAGTATTAGACTCAGGCTACAAGTCTGATTGTAATTCTTGTTGCAACCAATGGATCAAAACTCGGTTGTTTTGAAAAAAAGTATGATTCTGTAGCATCACAAGGTTTAAAATCTATGTCATAAAACAGTGCTGGATTTATACCTAAAATATACAAGCTACAGCTTACAGTCTTACAAAATTTCAGATTTTTTCTTTTGCTTTTAAATTTTTATGTGACATTTTATGTGTACTGTAATCTGTGAGAGAGATCCAGTCAGCCAAACGATAAATGCTAAACATAACATTAACATATTTAAATATTCTTCTGATCTATTATTCTCCTCATCTTTCCTATTATCTTTTCCTATTGATATCTTATGATTTGCTGTTTGTATCTTATGACTTATGATTATCACTTTGTTGTTTACATGTACACTAAGAGCTTATACACTGAAGACAAATTCCTTGTGTATCGAGTCACACTTGGTCAATAAAGAATATCTTATCCTATCCTGTCCTGCCTGTCCTATCCTATCCTATCCTATCCTATCCTATCCTATCCTATCCTATCCTATCCTATCCTATCCTATTTAACTTCAAAACAATTCCACATCAATCTACTTATAGGCATTATTATTGGTTGTGAATGACCTCTCCCATTTTTCAAAGTCTGCTCAGCCCCTTGGTAGATGTTGCAGCTTATTTATTTATTTTCTGAGTCCAGAATGTAGGATGTTATAACAACAACAATGTCCATCAGTAGATTGATGTGGAATTGTTTTGATGTTAAAGTTGTTAATGTTATGCTTAGCATGTATTGTTAGTGGATTTGATCTCTTACAGTAGACATAAACAGCCACATAAAATTCTAAAAGCCAAAAAAGGCAAGGAAGCCAGGTGGAAGACAGTTGGAGCACAGTGGAGGATGACACATTTTTAGGAAAGATTTATTCATTCTACTTTGTGATGCTGATGAGGCCAAGACAAAATTTGTCCTCCACCTTTACATCCTCCCAACTTATTGTACCACTGCAGCTTTGGGATTCCTGTTTGTTTGGGGCACATGATAGGAAGCAGAAAGCTTCACATGGCTAGACCTCCCTCTATGGACAAGTGCCTGGATTTCCTAGGTCCATTTCAATAAGGATTTAGGTCTGGCACTGTGCTGGGACAATTATTTCTTAGCAGGCAGCTTTCTGAATTCCAGACTTCTTCAGCAGGAAAGGGTGAAGATACAAGAAAGGAAATGATGATGGGGCTGGAAAGGTGAAGCATGGGACTGGAGATTTTTCTGGGTTGGGTACTTGGAATGGTTTACACCAAATCTTCCCAAGAGATGAAAGGAAAAAAGAAAAGGAAAGGGAAAAAAATACAGCATTGTATGCTACTTTCCTGTACCCAGATTGGAAGAGATCATACCAAAGCTGCCTTGAGCATGAGGGAGAGTAAAAAAAAAAAAAAAAATGACCCTACACAAATAAATAAATGAAACAGCAGTATAAAACCAAGACTACTGACCAGAACATCACTGCAACATATGGTACAGCAGCAGTTTTAAAAATGCACATAAATAAAACACAAATCACCAGGCATGTTTCAAAAGGTTTGAAGTGTTTAGTTTCCATCTGGCCACTTCTGAGATGAGGAGATTTGGGATGGGAGACCCCTGCTAGCCCATTCTTATCTTCCAAAGTGAAAAGACAGGACAAGCAAGAGTTTGGTGGCCAAGCAAGTGGACATGGAGTGGAAAATCTTCAGCTGGCAGAATCTGCTAAAATGTAAGTTATGTCTATACTTAGCCAGACTAAGGGAATTATGGGAACCTTACTTTTCATTTAAGTAGGTGTATCAAAAGAATGATTTGCTCAAAAAATATTTTTTAGACCTTATTGATGCTTTGAAGTTTTCAAGCCAAACCACTACTTAATTGCCACTGGCCCCTGCTGGCTTGTAAAATCCCAGAAGGTGTTGGAAATAGCAGCATAAATATTTCACCAAGAAGTGCCAGCCAACATTTTTGCAGAAGTGACCAAGCTGACTTGCCAGTTTAGTAAGTTAAATGTATGATCATCTTTATGAGATGGAATTTTAGCAAACAGAATTCAGATCTCCACAGACTGGGGGGAGGGCTTGGAGGGATGGGTCCCCTTGCAAAAGTGTAGAGATCCTGGCTGGCTTCTGTTTACACAAAGAAGTGCCCCAGCTGGGTCTTGCTGCTATGACACATTGCCCAGGTTGACAGCCTTGCTCTGGATTCCTTGATCAGAAGCTGATTCCTTCATGCTGCTGGGGAAGGGAAACTGCAAAATGGCTGGGTCTCAAGGGAAGAAGATGGTCTGGGAACCAAACAGCTGGTGCAGTACTTGAGATGCCCATGGACCAAACTCAGCTTCCTTTTCAAAGGGTTGTTCTTTATCTTATTGGGATGGAGCTTGGAACATGCTGGGCAGTTTGTTTTGGCATCATGCTCCTTCTGTTCATTTCTTCCCCTCCTCATGTCCACATGTCTATCTGGTGTTCCAGAAAATGTGTAGAAAGACTTTTTGTGGAGTGTTTGATGAATGACTGAGGGCACAATGGCTGTTAAGAACATGCTGCAGTGCTGATGTAATGATCTAAATACAGAGGTCATGGGCAACTCAGTTGAGAATCAGAACAGGGAGCTTATAAGAACATTACCACAGTTGTAGGTGAGACTGGAAAGCCATCTTTATCCACTTTTCCTTTCCTCCAAGCAAGATGACTCTAACAGGATTGAGTAGATGGACAGCCCCACTATTGGAAGCATTTGGACATACAAGAACACTATGAAGACCTGGATTTGGCCCTAGACAAAATTGGGGTTAATGGAGTTCAGGTATGGTTATGTGTGATAGGTATGCAGCATATGGATTTAGTGATCTGATCTAGTTACTCTTTTGCTGGCATGAATTAGCAAATGGAGAGAGAAAAGTGGAGAAGAAGTGCAGTTGAAGGACAGCTCTGCTGCCACAGGGATTCATGAGCTATCCAGAGATGTTGTGGGGAGATGTTGAGGGAGCAGACCCATTGTTCTGGTATATAGATGTTGGAGCCTCTTTAGCTGTTGAGGGATATGGTGCTGATCTGATCCAAAATTGGAGAGAGGGAGAAGGAGAGGAGAAAAAAAAGAAAAAAGACAATAGAGAACTGGCTGGAGAGAAAAGATGAAGTTACATCAGTGTGCAGAGTAGTCATCAGTTCTTGACTGGTGAGGAAGAACAAAGGTCCATAGGTGGCTTCCATGGAAAAAGGGAAGCAAAAACTCAAAGAGATGACATCTTCACCCAAGATGGGAATGAAAGAAGGGTTCATTGGTCATTGTCAAAGTCCTGGTCTCCGGAGAAGGACTGGGCAGAAGACCCTGAAAGAGATTCTTCTTCCCAACAGAGAAGTAGTAGATGAATGGTTCCGGGAGGAGTCAAGCCACACTGAGCACAAGATAGTAAAATCCTAGCCCATTGCTTTATTTTCACTCTTTCTTAATAAGAAAGAAAGAGACAGAGGGGAGTAGTCTCTGGGAGAAATTTAGGATAAAACCAGACACCAAACCACAGGTCTGTGTTATATATGCCTATTGTAAATACTGGTTGTAAACAGTTTTGCTGTAAATTTAAAAAGCATAAAAGCCCCCACTGTCTTGTTTTCTATAATAATTGCCACCCTTGTAAACCAACATACGTTCAAAAATAATCCCATCAAACTGAGACAAGGGGGTTAATTTAGACTTGGTTTTCCCCTTCATTTTAACTTGTTTTAAAAATTGTATTATGTTTTTATTATAGTTCGCTACCTGGAATTTCATTGGTTAGGTAGGTAGTGATATAATTTTTTTAATCAGGCAATAAAATAAATAAAACTTTACATATTCATGTTTCCAACTGCAGGAATGATGGTCTGCCCTGGAATGTGTTGATGATATGACCTCTGCTTTCTACAACACCTGTCTCAGCCCCTCTAGCTTCTTACTCATGGGCATTCCTCATCTGGAAGCAGTCCATGCATGGCTGTCCATCCCGTTTGGCTCCCTGTACATTATGGCAGTGCTAGGGAACTGCACCATCTTCTTCATCATCAAGGCAGAGCCCAGCCTCCACCAGCCCATGTATCTCTTCCTTTCCATGCTGGCTGTCACTGACTTAGTGCTCTCCTCCTCTGCTCTGCCCAAGCTGCTAGCCATCTTCTGGTTTAACAGCAAAGAGATTGGCTTCCACTCATGCCTCCTGCAGATGTTCACCATTCATTCTTTTGCCACTGTTGAATCAGGGATTTTTCTGGCTATGGCTTATGACCGTTATGTGGCAATATGTACCCCACTGAGACATAAGGCCATTTTAACCCATTCAACTGTTGTTAAGATTGGAGTGGCAGCTGTCTTGAGAGGCTTCCTCTATATCTCACCTCTCCCTTTGCTTGTGAGGAGACTGACTCATTATCATACCAACATCATCGCACACTCTTATTGTGAGCACATGGCTGTGGTGATGCTTTCCTGTGATGACACCTCCATCAGCAACATCTATGGAATGGCAATTGGCTTTCTGGTCCTCATCATTGATTCCCTGGGCATTGGTCTGTCTTACGTCTTGATCCTCCGGGCAGTGATGAATTTAGACACAGCAGAGGCCCGGCTCAAATCTTTTAGCACTTGTAGCTCCCACATTTGTGCTATCTTAGTTTTCTACATCCCCATAGCCGTCTCCTCCCTGACCCACAGATTTGGCCATCAGGTGTCTCCTCCGACTCATATTCTTCTGGCCAACTTCTACCTCATCTTTCCCCCTGTCTTAAATCCCATTGTTTATACTGTCCGCTCTCAAGTAATGCAGAGGAAGTTAGTCAAGATGCTATCCTGGGCCCAGAGGCTAATCAGAGGCCGTTTGTGAGCTTTTTAGAAAGGGTTTTTTTTTTATCTGAAGCACTTTGTCTATGAATTTGCTTGATCAACAGTTAGCTAAAAACCTTCTCTGATACTTACCCGAAGAAGCTAAAGAGGCTGACCATAAACACTTCAATTAAAAGAAGTGTTAGTCTAATTAGCCAACTGTGGCTTTATTACAATGCTGAACAATTTTGCAAAGGGCCCATTACCTGGAACAAGGAAAGGGAACTGGACTTTTAGCTTAAACTGTGACCAAGAGTATCCAAGCAAAGATCCAGAGGTAAAGAACTCATTATTAACATACTAAAAAGCATATCCAGGGGTGGAGAGCTTACTAATTAAATGCACACACACACTCCTATGCGTATGTCTTTAGTAAATTAGGAAGAAATGAAGAAATGTCAGAAAATTCTGATGTGTATATACTGTAGCAATAGAGATTGGACAACCATTTGTCTGAAATGGTATAAAGTTTCCTGCCTAAGCAGGGGGTGGACTAGAAGTCCTCCAAGGTCCTTTCCAACTCTTGTTATTCTATTCTATTCTATTCTATTCTATTCTATTCTATTCTATTCTATTCTATTCTATTCTATTCATAGCATGTGGACTTATATACTGCTTCACAGTGCTTTACAGCTCTCTCTAAACAGAGTCAGCACATTGCCCTCAACAATCTGGGTCCTCATTTTACCGACCTTGGAAGGATGGAAGGCTGAGCCAGTGAGATTTGAACTGCCGAACTGCTGGCAGTCAGCACTCAGTAGTATTAGCCCGCAATACTACGTTCTAATCACTGTGCCACCACGGTGGTTTTAATGCTATATGTGGTTTTAATGCTATAAAACAGACTGATGAATACCAGCAGGCATGTTTGATTTGGACTTGAGTTCCAAGTGTACTTATCTGTAATTCTGTACAGAAATAAAGTGTTGAACCTCGGTTTCCTGTCTCAGCATGATTATTGGCTCAAATTATGCCAGATAAAAGGAACCCAGTTTTGGACTGGGCCAATACACACAAGATGATTTCCTTGATTAGTCAGTAAAGCAGGTGCCTGGAGTAGCTTTAAGTCTTTTGAAGAAGCAAATTGCACTATAAAACCTGATGCTGTTTTTAAAATTGGTTAGTTGAAAATCTAGCTCCTTTGAGTTTCCTATTTCCAAGGTCATAGTGAGCTTCACGTTGGTGCATTGTGGAATTGCAATGCTAGAACTTTGCAATGCCAATACCATCATTCTGTTCAGGAAGGGCTTTGCCTTAGTGTACTGGGAGTTGTAGTCCCATATGGCACCAGACTGTCTTTGGATCATGAATGCAAAAGACAAAACAGGATTGATATGAGGCTTCAGAAATTGACCTGTTTTGGATCTCCCATAAAATTCAAAACCACTTAAATCCTTTTGAGGTGGGGCTCAGGGCCAAGTGAGTGGGACTACCACACAGATGGGGAAAGTTGGTTATTTTAGGGTAAAAGTTTGACATTTAGTTTCGGTAATTGAATTGTGGTATGCCAGGTTTAGGTGTGCTACTCAATTTCCATAGAGCTCCTCTCTCAGGGTGGCAAAAGATCTCAGTAATTCTGATCCCCCGGTCCCAAATGCAATGGGTTTTGCAAGCAATGGATCAAATTTCTACAGTGCAAAGGTCAAGAGATGATGCCAATAACATTAAATCACATCTGCCTGAGGAAATGGCATGGCTGAATAAATGGATTCTCCTTCCCCTCACCGCCCATCCCCAGAAATGTGCTCAGTGGAGATTTCATTGTTCAATTTTTAGCAATTGCAGAGTTGCCAAATGAGTCAGAATGGTGGGTGCAACCATGCAGTGGAAATCCTGCCTCTTTTTTAATGTCCATTGCATGTAAAACAGTTGGGACTTCAATTATGGGCACACTAGCAAGGGACAGGCAAAGAAACCTCCTTTCCTGTTTTTGTCCCCATTGCATCTGCCTCTGAGCCTGGAGCCACTAACGGGTGTTTGCTCCGACCCCAGGATCTGTAGCCATGGGTTGTCTCTTTGTCAACCATAATGTTCCTGCTTTCCCTCAGGATAGACACTGTGCTGCCCAGCTGCTGGGCTTGCATTGGGTCCTCCTGCAGCAAGGGAGTGCTCTCCTGTAGCCTTCTGTCACCCTCCCTAAGCATTGGGAGGCATAGAAGGATAGGTGGCAGGAAGGAAGCCCAGCACGAGGGAGATCTTTATTTTTGGATCACACAGTCTAACAATGTTCCAAGTGATGAACACCAAACTTGTCCCAGCTGCTTCCAGTCCTGGAGCCTCAAAGAGTTCATTAGAAACAAGAATGTTCAGAGTGTTTAGCAGCTGCTGCCATCTTGTCTATCCCTTATCTTTTGTGTCTTCCGGCAAGAAAGTGAATCCATAGTCAGCCTAACCAAGATTGGTCAAAGACAGGAGTGTATGGAACTAAATGGTAATAACCAGATCAATGCTTCAACAGAGCCTCTGCACTTGATTCAGTAATTGTCCTGACTTTCCCTTCCTCAGCTTGTAACAGGCACCCTTCAATTATATTGTAGCAGTAACACTCCGGGTTCTCAGCTGACATGGGAAAATTAACCAGATGGCACCACCTTGGGAAAGACTAACCCAGACAAGGTGTCCTATTAGCATTAACAGAGACTGAGGCAATACCAATTATTTTAGATTTTATTTTTTATCCTGTCTTTATACACACACACACACACACACACACACACACAATTCAAAGTGATGAACATACAATACACTGCCCTTTCCCTATGTTTCCCATAACACCACCTCCCTTTCCCTATGTTTCCCATAACAACCCTGGGAGAGGGTTGAAATGAAGGAGAGTTACTGGCCCAAAGTCATCCGTCCAGTGTTCATGCCAAGGCAAGACTAGAACTCACCCTCTCCTGGTTTTTAGGCAGCATTTTCACCAATATGCCAAACTGGCTCTTACTTTTTAATTTAATTTTGCATAATCATTTAATGAAACAGAGATAATGCAATTTTACAGCTCAGTCCATTCTACAATAGTATACCATCAACACTTGTCCTTTAGACAGCTTAATTGTTTGCAAATCTTTGATAGAAGGATCTTTTGAATCCAGCTGCATTGTTTCATCCTCCAGGTTTGTTGGAAGATTTAGTAGCTGAATGTAAAAGCTTTCTGTTAGATCTGAAGTTTCAAAGTTTTCTGAGGACAAGAAAGATCTGAAAGGCAGGTGATTGAAGAGAAAGACCAGTAAATATGCTAAGTTGTAGGCCAAACCTGGAGTTTCTCTAAGGTATTCTTCAGCAAATGACATGAATATTAACATTTAAACATGAACATCTAACACCTGTAAGATGTCTTTCTCACCTCTTGACTTCTAACAATTGGAATCAAGACTCAAATCGTGTTGTAAAGAATGGCTTTAGCATTTGCTGGCGGAGTTGCTTGGTTTTCATGCCATAGATAATGGGATTCAGCATGGGGGGCACCAGAATATATAGATCAGCCAACAAGATATGGATATGTGCAGGAATATTGTGTCCCCAGCGCTGAGTGTAAAAGGAGAAAAGGGCAGGCGTGTAGAAGATCAGGATGACACAGATGTGGGAGCCACAAGTACTAAAGGATTTCTGCCGGGCTTCTTTGGAGGAAAGTCCCTGGACTGTTCTGAGAATGAGCACATAGGAGATAGCAATGAAAACTGAATCTGAGCCCACCACAAAGGTGGCTGCTGTGATCCCATATATGTTGTTGGGTGTTGTATTTCCATAGGCCAGCTTTACCACAGCCATGTGCTCACAGTAGGAATGGGCAATGACATTAGGCCCACAATATGGGAGATGGCTCACCATGCAGGTCAAGGGGGTCATGAACCCAATGCCCCTCATGAAGGCTGCACATCCAATCTTAGCAATGACAGAACTGGTGAGGATGGTAGTGTAACGCAAGGGGGCACAGATCGCTACAAAGCGATCAAAGGCCATGGCGAGCAGCACACCCGACTCCACAGCTGAGAAGCCGTGAATGAAGAACATCTGGATCACACAAGCTTTGAAGCCAATTGTATGGGAGTGGAGCCAGAAGATACCCAGGATCTTGGGCACAGTGGAGGTGGTCAATATCAAGTCAAGGACAGCTAACATGCAAAGGAAATAATACATGGGCAAGTGAAGGCTAGGTTCCCTTCTGACCACAAAGAGGATGGTGATGTTCCCCACCAAAGACACCAAATATATGGAGCAGAAGGGGAAGGCAATCCAAAACTGGGCACTTTCTAGGCCTGGAATCCCCATTAGGAAAAAAAAAGAGACACCTCTTGATTGATTGTAACAGGACATGACATCTAACTGGCTTCAGCAACCATTTCACTACCTGCAACAGAGACAAGATGGTCAGAGAAAGTGACACATTAGTGAAATTGCAAAATCTTTGCAGTTGGAGAAGTCCCTTCCAGGGAGTGCCATCAACCCTTTTCTTTCCCAATATTCGCAGTCCTTGAAAATTTTATTTTAAAATTCCTCATGACTTATTATAATTGGGATTGGCTTCTACATTATACATGTATTCTGGTGGTTTGTTCTGTTGGCTGAATCTTGTCACATAGATTATTAAAATACACAAGATTAAGAAAATTTCAAGGGACTAAAGCAGCATACTTTTGCTGGGAACATTCAGCTCAGAAAGGGAAGGGCACTCTAATCCTGAAGGAGCTGGCCATGCTGGGACCAGTAGGTTGACCCTAATTCCATAAAGTCTCATATACATGTATATGCACATACCCACATTCCCACAAGGAATATTTCTGTAGATAGTTGAGATGATTCCATCACATTCTTAAGGGATTGATCAAAAAAGTCTATCCAACTTAGAAGCTCCTATATTCTGATTGGTTACGGTTTCTCTCAAGATATTGATGCCTTCTAGAAACATAGAAGGAACACGTGCATACAATGAAAAAGTGTTGTTTGTGTGTGTGTGTGTGCACTTGTATTGTATGCCATAGAAGGAAAAGAAAATAAACC